AAGTTGGGAGTCAAGGGCTTAACCATTTGCACCACCCACAGACTTCACCCAGGAGGACCGAAATCTAAAAACATGTATTTAACTACAACAAGGAAGCCAACGTAAGTATAAAGGACATATCCCCCTACCGCAATGCTTTTTTTAGTTTATAAACTGTTGATACCTTTGGTTCTTCTCTTGGCCTCTTTCCTGTTAGTTTGAAAGATTTGGACTTGCATCTATACCTCCTGGCATTGCCGTCCTCCTTTTTGACTTTTATGTGATGTGAACTGATAATTGTACAAACCAACCCTGAATTCTATTTGTTCAATAAACATTTGAGGTCCCACTGAGTGCCAAGCATGGCACTAGTTGTTGAGCCTTCAACAGTAATGAGACAGTTTCCCTAGCCTCAGTCTCATGAGAACAAATATGTAAAGAAATAAATGTAACACTGCAATATTCTACTGTAAAAGAAATACATACAGGAAATATGTTGTTGTTGTTGTTAAGTGCTGTTAAGTCGATTTTGACCCACCGCGATCCTGTATAGGGTTTCCAAGGAGCAGCTAGTGAGCTTGAACCACCAACCTTGCAGTTCAAATGGCTTTGCAGTCTGACGCATTAACTCACAGTGCCACACCAGGACTCCACATGACATATAGGTGACCCCAAAGCTTATCCAGGGCAATAGTCAGAACAAACTTCAATTCTAGGCAATGATGATTAAGTTTGGACATGAAGACAATCTGGTAAGTTTGGTTGTGATGAGAAAGGGTATTCTGAAGAGGAGAAGGATATGAAGATAAAAATCCACACAATGAAGGTTGTTTGATATTACTACTCCTTTAACCTTACAACTATAGCATGTAAATTTAATACTGCTAGTACTGTTGCCTTCAAGTTGACTTCTACTCATGATGACCCCATGTGTGTTGAAGTAGGACTGTGTTCCATAGAGGTGTTTTTTGTTTTGTTTTGTTTTTTAAAAATATGGAACACTTCACAAATTTGCGTGTTATCCTTGTGCAGGGGCCATGCTAATCTTCTCTGTATCATTCCAATTTTAGTATATGTACTGCCGAAGTGAGCACTCTATAGAGTTTCCAAAGACTAGGTCAAGGTTTTTTTTCTGAAGTGCCTCTGAGTGAACTTGAGCATCTAGTTGTAGGATAAACACTGGACTGCTAACTACAAGGTTATTCATTCAAACCAACCAGCTACTCCTCAAAAATTGTATAAAGGGTTACTATGAATGGAACCAACTCAACAACAGTGAACTCATGGAATCACTGGTGACACAAATGGTTACTCTTTATCTTATAGCACCACACCATGATTCCACACCAGGAGTAGGAAACTTATTTACTTGATTGTACTAGATCCCTTTATTTTCTGCCTGCTTTCTCCACTTCTCCTGATGCTGACTTCCTAGAGAACAGGAAATTCATCTGCACAGCATCTAGCACAATTAATAGTTTGTCAGGTAACTGAATATTTAAATCTACTGATCATTTTTCATTTTGCAAGCAATTCTTTGCACTGGAAACTAGTTCTTAGTACACTTCTCATAATGATACTACCCCTGTGTCTTAGCTTCCAGCCTTCCTTTAGAAATGCATACATGTTAGAATTCTGGTGAGAAAGGACCTTGTTCTTCAGTTCAGGTCATGGGGGCATATTCACTGGAAACAGGAAGAAGAGATGCATATATTTTAATTTCGTGTAGATCTTTGGTTAAACCCTAGATTTTGATTGTGTGTTTGCTTTTTGAAAATTACATACTTGACCAATATCATGCTTAAAACCAGTTTCCATCAAGTCAGATCTGACTCATGGTGACTCTGTGTTTGTCACAGTAGAACTGTGCTACAAAGGATTTTCAGTGGTTAGTTTTTAAGTAGTAGTAGACATCAGGTCTTTTGTCAGGTGCAAGTAATTCAAGTATCCTCTTATATAGTGACATCTTCCTTTAAACAGAAAACAAATCTTCAGGAAGTATGTGTATATATATATATATACACACACACACAAAACAAAGTTACTACTTTCTTGAATATATATATATGAATATATATATATGTATATATATATGTATATATGTATATGAATATGTATATATGTATATATATATATATTCAAGAAAGTAGTAACTTTGTTCCTTCTAAGCTATTCACACACATTTCTTGACTTTGCACATGCCAGTCCCTCTGATTTGTCATGTCCTAGGCATGGGAGTCCTGGTGTGGCACCGTGGATTAATGTGCCATACTGCAAAACAAGCCAGTTTGAACTGCAATGTCGGCAGTTCAAGTTCACCAATCGCTCCTTGGAAACCCTATACAAGGTCACTATGGGTTGGAACCAACTCAATGGCACTTAACTACAAGAACAAAGCATGGATGGGAACACCTAGTGTGGCACTGTAGGATCAGCACTGGACTGAGAACCAAAAGATAACAGCAGTTCAAACTCACCAGCTGCTCCTCTGAAACCATATTCAGGGTCTCTGTGAGTCAGAACCGACTTGACGGCACTTAACAACAACAAGGCGTGGATGGAGACATGGGTAATGAGAAGTCAACCTTTCCATTCATTATCTAGTCCATTTTATTTCTTCAGTACACCTCAGAAAGGTTTAAATTTTTAGCAAGGGCTTCGATTCCTGGTATCTAGCCTGGTTCCCAACTTTCAAATTTGTTCTTCCTCACAAGAAAGCCTATTGGGAAAGCTCCTTGTCTACCTGTTTGATCCATTTCCTTTCACTATGGAGTACTGGTGTGAATGGAGTCCTGGTGTAATGCTGCAGGTAACATGCTGGAAGGCAAGGTCAGTTTGAACTACAAGGTTGGTGGTTCAAGCTCACCAGAAGCTCTTCTGAAACCCTGTTCAGGGTAACTGTGAGTCAGAACTGACTCGATGGTGCTTAACAATAACAAGGCATGGAGGATGGAGACATGGGTAAAGAGAAGTCAACCCTTCCATTGACTAGCCAGTCCATTTCATTTCTCCAGTCCATCAGAAAGGTTTAAACTCTTAACCTGGTTCCCAACCCTCAGATTTGTTCTTTCTCACAAGAGAAGCCTATTGGGAAAGCTCCTTGCCTACCTATTTGATCCATTTCCTTTGCTACTCCACCTTAGTCTCTGGCAGTTGTTGTTGAATGCCATCCAATCAGTTCTGACTGCATACGTTTCCAAGGAGCAGCTGGTGGGTTTAAACCTCCAACCATGTGCATAGCATTCTGATGCTGATGCTACAGCCACACACCAGGACTCTAGTAAGACTTCTCAAATTCTACTCATTAACTCTGACTGAGAAAGAGGCAGAACAAATTGAAGTAGGTGGGACTTCATAACTCCAAGTCTTACAGAATCCTTTGTGCTGTATCCCTCCTCCCCTCGCCCAGAAATGGCAGGCCTGTTGGGAAACACACAGACGCCACTCTTCAGGAGGATAAATACTAATTAACAGACCACACTCTGGTAGCATAGTGGTTACGAATCGGGCTGCGAACCTTAAGGTCAGCGGTTCGAAACTACCAGCTGCACCGCAGGAGAAAGATGAGGCTTTCTACTCCCGTAAAGATTTACACCCTCGGAAACCCTATACAGGGTCGCAATGGGTCAGAACCGACTCGATGGCACATAACAACAACAACAACAATAACTGCTTCAGAAGGAAGTCAGTGGTTTCTTTCACTACCACATAATTTTCAAGGCAGCTCTCCAAGTGGCTGGACATCTCATTATTACATTATTATTCAAAATCATATAAAATTATCTTCCTACGCTTGCTTTTTCCCCACCCTGTTTCTTTCTCTTCTTCTTTTTTTTTTTTTTACACCATTGCATTTTAAATTGCACTCCTAGGTCCTGCTGTGAATAAGAAAATGTCTATTCTGATACCCTACACTCATCTGAGGCTGTTTCCTTAACAAAGAGAGGCTTAGCTATTGCTGTTCCATTAAGGAGTACAGGCACTCCTTATCTGAGAATCCCCTTTACCCTCAACTAGGTTGGAGAGAAGTCAGGTAATTGATGACCTGTATATGGGAGAGTTAGGTCACATGATCCAACAAAGGAACTGTTTTTTTCCAGAACACGATTCATTTTCATTAAATCTTACAAAAGAATAAAAATCAAGCTGGATTTAAGTTTTTGTTTTTCCTTTATTTTTGCAGCATTTAACAAATCACTTCTTCTGGGGGTGTGGGGGGAGAGAAAAATTGCACAACTCTCCCAGAAAATTCAGCCAGCATGGTGGTCCTAGCTTTATGACATATATATATATATATATATATATATATATATATATATATATATATATATATATATATATACTAAATATGAAAAATGCTCAATTACTTAAAAGAAATCTTTAAAAACATAATCTGAACATTTCAGCCATGTATCCTGGTGAGACTGAAATTGGTCAAAGGCAGAGCTGCATGCCAAATGATAATTTCTGCTAAATAATTCAGGCCATCTGAACTCTGGTATTATACTTACTTTAATGAGCATAATGGATGCAATTAGAGACTGTTTTTCCTCCCTGTGCCAGATACAATGTGCTCTCACCTAATTGTCTTGCAGACTTGTCCCGTAGCCTGACAATAGTAGCCATGCAATAAGTGTATGCTGAAGTCAGTAAGTTTTGATTATGATTATTTTGAATGTAACAAGAAATTGTATAACCAAAACTAGGTATTTTCCTAATATCTGGTTATGTGCTGCGGAGTTGGTTCCCAACTCATAGCAACCCTGTACAGGGTTTCTGAGGTTGTAAATCTTTACGGGAGCAGAAAGCTTCATCTTTCTTCCATGGAACAGCTGGTAATTTTGAGCTTCTGACCTTGAGGTTAGCAGCTGGAGGATTCATAACTACTATGCTACCAGAGTCCCTTAGCTAGCCAGTGATAAAATCTCATACGCAAAAGAATAAGATAGGGAAAAAGATCTTAGGACTTAGTTTTTTCCCTAACATTGTTTTTGTTTTTCTTTTCCTTTGTCCCCTCACAGGGAAATGATGCTGATATGGTGGATAAGAACAAGTGCTGCACGCTTTGTAACATGTCTTTTACCTCAGCAGTGGTAGCTGACTCACACTATCAAGGCAAAATCCATGCCAAAAGGTTAAAACTGTTGCTAGGAGAGAAAACCCCATTAAAGACCACAGGTATGTGTGTGAACTGTAATCCTGGGGAGATGCTGAAAAGCCAGTACTGTGCCTGTCACATTAATCACACTTCCTATTCAGAGGCAGGTAGGCCAGAATCAGAGACTAATGATAGATGTCATTCAGTTCCTAAAGGGATGAGTAGGCAGCCCCACTGACCTTGCTGTCATAACAACAGTAAACACAAATCCAGGTACTCCTGAGATCATCCTGGCTCCTTCAAATTAGTAATTCAGCAGCTTGCTTCATTTTGAAAACACAGTGTACATCCTGTAAGATGCTGCCTAGTATATCTATTATATATTATGTAAGATGTATCTATTATGTAATGAGCATTGTTCTTCTCTGGACCAGTTTGTGATCCAGTGTATAATGGGGAAATCTCCTACTAATGTCTGCAGAATGCAGAAGATCATCTTATTCTTATCGTGGAGTGAATGGAGAAGACCGTAGTTTAAAAATATTATATTTTGCAAATCAACTGATAGATTAATTTTTCTGAGACAGCATGCCAATCATCTTTGTAGGGGAATCTTATAATTCAAGCTTATTAATTTTCATAGTTAAAAGCTTAAATATTGATAACAGATCATTTGACCTTCTAATTGCTTAAATAAATATACTACTCAGAGGTCTAACAAAGCAGAAAACTAAAACACCATTATAATTTAATCAAGAGAGACTATTTGTACAAAGTTTATATCCTTGCAAAGATGGTACTAGAATGGGTTATAATCCCAAGAAGTTGGGTTATAGCTCTGGACTACTCTTGCAATACAATTAAAATTTAGCAGTGCATTTTATCTTGCTGTCTAATGAATCGTGCCTAGATCGTGGGTGTAATTATTTTTTAAATGGTATTTTGGAAATTGGAGAGTCTAAAACATTGTTTGGCTTTTATCCTCACCAATGTTTTTCTTAAGACAAATGTCTTCTTTTATCTAGAGAATAGGAACGAATCTTTTCACTACATTTTTTTCTACTTAGTTTAACTAAAGAATGTTGGTTTTCAAAAGGTGACTGTGACATTCAGATATACGATGGAGTTGCGATACACGGGGAACATGCAGACACACTCAGCATGTTTCGGGGGCACACTGTATATGGCATTGGATAAGCAGCCAATTGGTTGAAAACTCCTGCTTCTTGCGGTCTAAAAGGCTGACTACTCACCTTGTAACCTCCCGATCAAACCTCTTAAAACAGACATTTCAAAGAAACAGTCACTGGCACATTTTTACCTGTTTTCCATGAATGAGTAACTGGCCCATTTGTTCTCTCTGCCTAAGGAAAGCATTGCTGTGAAATTTAATTTTGGAGTTAGTGATTGAAGAGGGGGAATGATATCTCTGTTTATCACATCAATTAGCAAGTTGGAGAGTTATTCTTTCTATTAAAAAAAACAAAAAATCACCACATGGTAAAAATAGTTCTTTGTAAATTTAAGCATAGTCTCAAAACCACCAAGCACCAATTTATTTTAATGAATTCAAATACTTCCAGAGCTGGTAAATATATTTGGGATAATTTGTGAGTTACCATCAATATATTCTGAAGGAAAAATCCAAAGTACTTACAGTTACAACCTCCATGTATTGGCTTGGTCTTGACTGTCTACAGAGCTGTCTCCATTCTCACTGTTACAGAAATCAGGTTGCTGGTTAGCCTAGAAGGGATTGAATAGGTGAGTTCTACTGACAGCTTGTGGCTTGGGCTTGGGTTTGGGCTTGGGCTTGGGCTTGGGCTTGGGAAGCAGATTCTGGTTTCTTTGTAGCAGTATCCCCTTTCTCCTCTAACTCAAATTCCCAGGTTGCAGATTGCTCTTCGATAGCACCTCCTCTCATCCATTCTGCTCTGAAACTAGTTTGGAAAACAGTACCACCAGACAGACTCGGAGGGTTTGTTAATCTTGTTAATGTCAACCCAACTGCTAGCAGGGAGCAGTAAAAGCAATGCACCTTGCTAGAGGGTGGTAAGGCAGTAAGTACAAATGTAAGCAGAGCGTTGGTATTAGGTAGGTATGCTCATGTTAAGAATCTGAGAGCCTGGTATGATGGTAGCACCTAGAAATGGTGAATTTGGGTGCAGAGAACATGCACAGATTCCAGCAGGATACTGGCATCAGGTATGTTTGACATGTAGTAGCAGGACCCTGCCAGCAGCCCTGGAATTCCAGAGAAAGGAAAGGCAGTTGAGGACATGGTGCATACTCAATGGTTAATTTTCCAGAACTAGATCATCAGGACTTTCTTCTGAGGTACCTCTGTATGGATTAGAACCTCCAACCTTTTGATTAGCAATCAATCAAGTTAACCATTTACAGCACCCAGAGATTCCTAAGGCAAGCATACTGAAAACCAATACCGTATTGCATATACATCCATAGGCCCATAAGCTCATAATAGAGTTCAGAAATTCCAATCATAAAATGGACTGTATCACGGACAAGTATTGTGTGTGACCACTATTGTAAAAATCAAGAAAACATTTTCATGCTAAAAGAAGTGTTTTTGATGGTTATCAGGGGTGGGAGTGATTTGCATTAGGCAAGTCTGTTACATAAGACCTCTTTAAAGTGTTGAAGAGCCAAGATTTCAGTTTGAGGACTAAGATGCATCTGACCCAAGCCATGGTATCTTCAGTCACCTCATATGCATGTAAAAAGTTGAATAGTGAATAAGGAAGACAGTAGAAGAATTGATGCATATGAGTTATGGTTTCGGAGGAGAATATTGAAAGTAATAAGAACTGCCAAAACAACAAATCATTCTGTGTTGGAAGAAATACAGCCAGAGTGCTCCTTGGAAGCCAGGATGGCCAGACTTTGCCTCTCATACTTTGGACATATAGTCAGAAGGGACCAGTCCCTGGAGAAGGATATCATGTTTGGTCAAGTGGAAGGTCAGAGAAAAAGAGGAAGACCACCAACAAGATGGATTGGCAGAATGGCAGCAGCAATAGGCTCACCAATTGTGAGGTTGGCTCAGGACCAGGCAATGTATATATATATATATATATATATATATATATATATATATATATATAGAGAGAGAGAGAGAGAGAGAGAGACAGACAGAGACAGAGAGAGAGAGACAGAGACAGAGAGAGAGACAGAGAGAGAGACAGAGAGAGAGACAGAGAGAGAGAGAGAGTGAGTATTGGTGTGGTGCTATGTATAATATGCTGGACTGCAAAGTCTGTTTGAAATGCAAGGTCAGCATTTCAAGTTTACCAGCTGCTCTTAGGAAACCCTATACCAGGTTGCTATGGGTCACAAATGACTCATAGGCATCTAATAACAACTATGTATGTATGTATATATATACACACACACAAATATAATGGAAATTTTCTCCATACAAACAAATTGGTATATAGCAAGTGCACATGTGCCTCATGTCTCTTGTATATAAAGCAATTGTACTGCTAGTAATAAAATTGTTGTTGTTGTTAATTGCCATCAAGTACCTTCCAACCCATAGGGACCTGGTATACGGTTTCTGAAGAGCAGCTGGTGAGTATAGTATATATACATAACCTGTAATACATATATCTTGATAGTCATACTGAACAGCTATGCTACTGGCTTATATATGGACCGTACTGTATACTTCCTATGTAAAAGTTAACCATGTAACAATAAATGCTTTGAATCATAGGCAGCAGCATGCAATCTCAGGTACTGCACATCTACTGTGTGTTGTAGCATTCTATCTGTTTAATTTCTTGAGAAAATACTACTGTGAAATTCATCATGGCTCCCAAATGTAGCAATACCAGTGACAGCAGCAGGAAGAGGCAAAGGAGAAGTATCCATTTAGAAGTGAAACAAAAAGGTAATTAAAGAATAGAAATATGGAAAATCAGTGAATACTATTGCTAGCAACTGAGGCATATCAGTCTCAACAATCATGGCAATCCTCAAAAACAGCAACAAAAATTATCCAAGCTGTTAAAAGATCAGCTTTAATGAGAGCTATAAAGCTAACAAAAATGTGAGATGGATCAATATTAGATATGAAAAAATCATGCTAGTGTTTGAGGATCAAACACAAAAGAGATTCCCTCTCAGCATACAACTCGTTTGAGAGACTTTAAGAAAAAAATCTGCACTACATTATGATATAGTGTTCACACAATGTTCTAATTGTATAATGTTCTGTTTCACAGAACGTTAACTGGTGTTAAGTGACATTAAGCAACACATGACTATATGGAACAAATCAGGAACCTGGCAGACATGAATAATGGATTTAGACTTTGTCCCAAGCACAAATTCAGTTACTGAAAGTGTGAGACAAAAACCAAGAAGCACTTCATGAACTACCAAGTACAGCCTCTTCATTCCATAAAAATCCCAGCAGCACATTTCTAAAGGACATCACCCTCCAAGCTGTGACTGCCCATTTCACATCTGGGAACTGCTTTGACTAATCAAATAGATTGGCTTGAAATTAGTTCTGTAATGAAAACGAGAGAAAAAACAAAAAAACATATAAAACCCAATCAACTGAATCAAGAGGCCAGAGAGAAACAATTCTCCTGCTCAAGTATGCTGCTTAAGCTGCCCCTCCATAAATAACAGGCTCTTGAGCTGTAATGATTTCTGGGTAGAAATAATTGAAGCACAACTCATTGCTTCTTGTAGCTATTCCATGTGATAAGGGTGAGCAATTGGGATCTGTGAATCACTATCTTTCCTCCTACCCAAGTTACACTTTGATCAAGCAGCAACTGAATATCCTTCAGAACTTGCTGTTTTGAGCTGCCTTCTCCAGATGGGTGCATGTTTACTCACATTCTTGAAGTGCTTGACAGAATCACTGGAACAAAAAACAATTTCAGTTCTCCTTTGTTAGTGTGCTTGAAGATTTCACTTCTAGTAAGTGTTCTTCAAAGTTGTATCTTCAGCTGCTCATCATACCAACATGGGTCCTTAAAAACATGTTATACAGCAATTTGCATATTCTGCAAAGCAGATGAAGATGAAGTTGAAGATA